AGAATATGATGAAACAATTTTATTAAAAAGTATATTTAATATTAAATCTTATCTTTTGTTTTCATCCTTATATTTTCTATTAGGTAACAATATTCGAATCAATGGAAGTAATAGTGTAAGACAACACTAATATCGTTTATAAATTTTTTCTTAAATAAAAAAAACCGAATCTAGGATATGACAAATATAATTAATTCATCAATTATCAAATGTACATCAACAATTCAATTAGAATTTTCACCATATGAAAATAACTCCCCATTAAAACAAGCGATACAAAATGGTTTAAATATTATCAATAAATAAATCTGATTAATTTTCTTTATCTTGTTATTTTTGTTGCTTTAATAAAGAAAAAAAAATGAAAAAAGGCTTGTTCTTAAATGTTTTAATATAAAATGGTGCTGAATAATGGAAATTCGTTGAACAATACACTATCGCCTGTTGAGGTTGGTATACAGTTTTACATTTCAAAGAAGGAATACCATAGATTTGTTTGAATATTCATGACATACTATAGCTTGACAACAAAACTACGAATACATATGTATATAATCAACTATGAAACAAAAATGACATAATTCCATTTAAAATTTATTAGTACTACTACTTGAAATTGGCAGCCAGCATCTTATTTTGTACGCAAACAAATACTAAAATTAAGGATAAATATTTTCTTCACTCTCGATTATCATATCCACCCTTCGTGATGGTTGTCATTATTATATTTGAACCAACATTATTAAGTACATAAACAACACCAAAAGTTTGATTTCATCGAATTCATCGAATTCATGGGAGACCTCTGACGACATTGTCTGTTCTTTCCTTGATTGATAACTATAGATTATTGAAAAGAAAATTTTTTAAAGATAGTATTACCAATAAATATATTTGAACAAATCGAAATGAAAAATTCGAATTAGTACTAACTCGTATATGGATAAATCATTACATTATGTAATTCGAAACTTATTGCTGCTATTGCTTGAAAGCTTATTTGTTGATCAGATTTATTCAACATTTTTTTTTTCATTTCTATCAAATAAAAAATTTTTTAAATTGATTAAAATATTATTCCTAAACATTCAAGATGTAAGACTACAATATTTTAAAGCTAGCAATGCATCCATAATCCAATAGACATTCTATTCCATTATGTAGCTATAAATCCAATTAATATTCACTCGAAGCAACATGTGTCATATGACGGTAGAGTCAATAGACTCCTGATCTATATTGATATAATGAATTGCTATCAGCACTTAATGATGCTGCTGATAATTTTATTGTTATGTCAGCAAGTTCTTGAACTAGTGAAGCTAATTCTTTTAGCGCAATTGTTAATAATTTTAATTTAGGATAATTTCTTATATTGGTAATTTTAGTTGAAACATTAAATATATTCATAACTACCATGTGCATATTTAATCGATTTGGGCATACTCTCAAAAGAGCTTTTGTTACTTTTAGCACCAACAGTCACTGAACAAATATTATTACTAATTTATTTATCAGTACATCATAATATTGTATAAGCTTTTGTGTGCCTATAAATATTAACAGCACCATATTGTAATACTTTATCTTCTTGAAATGAATTGACAAAAACGAAGTGTTTAATGTCCTTGTATAATCGGAGGTTTCTATTTGCTTTTATAAAGAAAAATATTGTTTACGTGCAATGTTGCATAAATTTAAGAGTATAAACACTTCTCAAAATGTCATCAATCGGAATTGTTTGTTTTTTAACGATTGTCTCAAAGCGTAAGCGCATTTATGAAAACAAACTACCGAAAAAGGCAACTATGAATTTATCACAATCTATTTTTAAACCTCTAACATTATTATACAAAGTATTATTATTAGATGAAAATAAACTTTGAATATTCATTGTCTTTCGAAGAATTCAGTAAATACATATATGAGGTAGAATATTCATTATTATTACATTTTATTTATTTTAAATTGAAGTTAATTCTGTTTCGTTTTTTTTTTCAGTTTTGAAAGTAACCATGGAAAAATGAGTGTGGCTCAAGCATCAACAAAAAAAAACGGGCACATACATGAGAATATTATTGACAAGTAATAAAATTCTATTGTCATTTGAACATGTAAAATATTTTATTAATGAATTTCTCTTTCTATATGAATTGATAAATTATATATGAAGATTTTTTATTTTAAATATCTATCTGATTGATAATGTTATTTTTTTAAAGTTGATATTTTTGTTAAATGTTAAAACCAAAAGTTCATATAAATTATTTAAGAAAAGAAATGATTGAATAGAATACAAATGTAAATTTCGTGAAATATTGATACGTTTACTGAATTCTATTTCTACAGAACCGAAAAAAGTAACATTATCTCATAGAAAAAATCTTCAATAATACTGTAAAATCTAATATTGATGTAAAGAGAATAATAAGATTTTAGTTTAGTATGACTATCAAAATAAAAACCATTGTCAATAGATACGTACAGAATATAAACTCCATGTACATAAAACTACTGTGTTAAGAAAAACATCCATATTGATTTCTCATTTATGGAATTTATGTAACTGCATAATCAATTATCCCGAACGTAGGAGTTATCTTCATATATAATACGAATAAAATCCGGCAATACGAACTTTTCAATTAAGTTTTTTTCCGCCACTTTGATATGTATGCATATATCTTTAAAAGAATCATTACTTTCTTATCATACCGTATGTCTTTAATTAAGTTTGTCTTTCATTCAGTTACATATTAGTTTTAAATTTAATATGACAAGAAAAAATAGGAACAGTCAAAAGTATATACATGTTGATATTTAATATACCTTCAAGTGTTTCTTCTACGTTGTCGTCGTGCATGATAATAAGAATTTATATTGCCCAGAATCAATTCGTTTCTTTTCACATGTACTTTATAACCATCAAAAATACTAGACTGATTCATTAAATCTTTTTTTTTTTCGCTTAAGCCCATCCATTGTCAATTGTATCATTTCGAAGGACATAAAATGTCTTACATGCTCTTTCGATATGCATTTTAAGCAAATGAAAAAAAAAAACAGAAGAAAAGGATAAAACTACATATCAACATGAACAGATGAAGAGTATGGCCTCTTACAAAATGTCAATACATTTCTTTTCTTATAGAACAGAAAAGCAAAAAGAAGAAACGTTGACAAAATGATAGCAATCGTTATGTCGCGATAGTTGACGTATGTTTCCTAGATAAATGCAATTTGGTCATGCGTGCAATCTTTAGATTAACAAATAAACAAAGAATTCATCATGGTATGAAAAAATATTTTTCTTTTGTCTAGTTTATTCCATCGAAATTATAATTATTATTCTTTTCTAGTTTAATATACAATTTAGTCTTTCAATAATTCTATTATGTACATTAACTAATCATCATGCATATTATTTTCGTTATCAGAATTATTCACAAATGACTAATTTTCTTCATGATATAGTTAATCGTTATTCGTCAAAAGCAGCATTATATGAAATAGGGAAAACTCAAGGAGGTATATAAGATTAAAAAAAGAAAAAAAAATTAATTCTTTGATTATTTTATTGTTAAGGACGATCATTATGGGCTATAGCACTAAGTTCATATGCTCCAAATGAACATATTTTATTACGTCCAGAAGTTAAATATATTGGAAATATGCATGGAAATGAAGTTATTGGTCTTCAATTATTATTATATTTAATTGAATATCTTTTAACATCAAATGATAATCAAGTTATGGACTTAATGAATCGTTCTCGAATATGGATTATGCCATCAATGAATCCTGATGGTTTAGCATTATCACAACATGGTGATTGTTCAACAGTAAAAGGAAGGTAAAAATAAAAATAAAAGAGAAAAAGTTGACCATTAGATTTTAAAATAATAAATTTTATTTTAGATTTACATTAAATAATATTGATTTAAATCGAGATTTTCCTGATTATCTTGGTACTCAACTTCCATCATCAATTCTTGCTTTAGAAACAAGTGCAGTTATATCTTGGCTTCGTGATGTACCATTCATTCTTTCGGCAAATTTTCATGGCGGTGCATTTGTTATTAATATTCCTTATGATCGTTATTGTAAAAATTTTATTTTATTTTTTATTTAAATATAAAAAAAATTGTTTTTTTTTTTTTTTGGTTTTTCTTTTCAGATGTCGGAAAAGTATCAATTAGTTCTGATGATGATATATATCAAATGATTGCTAGATCATATGTCAATCGAATATCAGACACAAAGAGATATTGTAATTTAAAAAATGATGAGATTGGAACAGTTATACGTGGTGCTGATTGGTATGAAATTATTGGTAGTATGCAAGATTATGGTTATTTAAATTATGGTACTATGGAAATGACAATGGAAATATCATGTTGTAAATATCCAAATGAAAATTTATTATTTTCATATTGGAATTATAATCGTGACGCTATGATTGAACTTTTATTTCAAGCACAACGAGGTTTAATTATTAAAATGATAGAATGTCTTTTTTTAAATAAGCTTTTTGTTTTCAGGAGTCAAAGGTTTAGTACTTAATGAATATTATCAACCTATTCCATTAACACAAATTATGATTGATAATAGACGACCTGTCGTTAATGTAACACCATTAGGAGAATTTTGGAGAATATTATTACCAGGAGTTTATACTTTAAAGGTAAAAAAAAATCTTAAAGAAGAATATTTCAAAATATAAATAAGATAAACATTTTTAGGTATTCTATCGTGGTTATGAAATTCATCGTCAACAAATAGTAATTAATAATAATTATATACCATTAAATTTAAATATTATTATTCCACGATTAACATATCTTCATTATACAAATAGACCAATTCAATTATTATCTCCTTTTATGACTAATTCAACTTATTCAACATCAATTTCATATGTGTTATTTTTTCTTTGCCTTATTTTTGTAGAGAATTAAATAAAAAGGGAACAATCTTCTTTTTTTTTATTTTGGTTTTTCTTAACCAACAGAAGGACCTTGAATGACAATTCCTAATTCATTTAATTCTGCCAATAATTGTTGATTATTATACATTTCTGTATATGAAATACAATGACCAAGAACATAAATATTTTGTGCACAACATATTACTTGATCATTAGGACAAATGTTTTGTGTATAAACTAAATATGTTTCAACACCATGTTTTGCTTCTGACCAATACTCATCACACCAACGTGTACAATGACTCCATCCAAAAACACCACATGAATCATAGCCACATTTATGACGACCATGTGCAGATACCTTAATTGAGAAAATAAATTGATTTTATTAATAAATTTTTTTCATGTACGTAATATGTTGTTTGTCGTGTATATGATGTTGCTTGAACACCAGGATCAGTTTTACAACACCAATTTTCATCTGTATTTTTTAGATCATTTCTTGATGATGGTGTTGATAAAAGAATATTTAGAATATTTTCTTGAGTACTTTTTGATAATTGATCGATTTGATTTTGAATTTCAGTGATTGTTGCTATTGAAAAAAGAATAGCATTGAAAAATAAAAAAATTTGAATAAGAATCATTCTGATCGAATTCAATGAAAATAAATTTTTCTTAAAATATTTTAAAAGTGTGATTTCTTTTAAGACGTACTAACAGATGTCTTTTTTCACATTGCATCGGACGATATTTATCAATCACTCAGTAAACTCACAAGAATATCATCCGACAATTTTCTTTATCGAATTCATCCTATAAGTCAACTAATGCATTCAAATTTTATGTTTAGCCTTCAACCATTGTCAATGAAATTTTAAATGTCTTGCATAGTTAATTTTAATAAAAGAGACCTCAAAATCGATTTTCATATATTTCTTTTAGTAACAGGAACATAAACATGAAGAAAGCAAAAAAAAATGGTTATATAGCGTGCTTCCTTACATAAACGATCATTTTCGATCTCAATTTTTTCTAATTGAAAGAAAATTTCTTTCAATCTTTCTTCCGATTATTTTCTTTTAATGTGATACTATTTTGCTTGATTTGACTATTTCTCTCTCTCTCTCTTTTTTTTTCTCTCTTTTACTTTCACTTAAAAATAACAAAATTGTGCGTTGACTCTGTTTTTTACCTGTGTAAACAACAACAACAGCAACCGTTTTGTTTGATGGCATTATTGTTCATCATCTATTAGACAGTGGTGTCTACGACAACGATTTTTGCTCAAGCATCCATTAGTAAGCTTGAAAATAAAAAACGGCGTATCAAATACATTTTTCAGCAAGTAAAGCGCTGCATCAACAGCCAAGTGCTGCTATTGTTTCGCCATCAAGAGGATCGAAACTCTCAAAACAACATACACGCCGTGTGACAGCAACACCATCCAACAATTCATTTAACACAATAGAAAGTGAGCATCTACCTCCTATAGTGCCCCCTCCAGCTACTGCATTTCGGAATTATCCAACGAACGGCTTGACTCCTACACGTGGTTCTTTATTAAATAATAAATCTTCTTCAACGTCACCTAAAAAATATATTACAAAAACCATGAGTACAACAACCACAATAAAAAAACCAGTCAATGGTGGTCCTATTATGGCTAATCGAACACCATCTCAATCCACAAGAACAACGTCAAGTGAAAGTAATACAAGGGTAAAACTTTCAATTATTTTATTTTAACAAGATTAAAAAGAAAATTTTATTGTTTTTCTTTTTCTAGGCTCGTAAACTTTGGTGGTCACCTAAACGAAATCAACTTGAAATACGTTCTGAAGATAATAAATATAAGCATGTACCATCTAAAATTGGTTCATTAGCAAATATTCAATATCGACCTGGTGGTGGTCAAATATCTATAAGGGATGAGGTTTTACAATGGCAATCATCATCAAAAGTCGGTTCACTTTCCAATGCTAATTGGTCTCCACCACCACCACGTGTTACTGTTCGAACGGAAAAACTCAAATGGGATGTTCAACCTAAAATTGGTTCACTAGATAATATTGATCATAAACCTGCTGGTGGTAATATAGCAATTCGTGATGAAAAAGTTGATTTAGCTCATGTAGCGCCGCGTATTGATTGTGGCTTTGTTGATTAAATGTATGCCTCTTTCCGTATGTTTTTTTTTTATTTACTCAGAAGAACATTACGGTTTCGTGCTACTTTTTTTTGTTTATATTTATAATATATATACATATATCTATATACAAGGAAACAACAGTGCTGAAATATTCAATAAATAAGTTTTTTTTTTGTTTTTAACAAATTAAGAGAGACGAAGAATTGTTTCGAAAGAAGAAAAAGAACACAATTACATAATAATAAGAAAAAAGAAAATTTGTAGTCACTATATACAATGTTTCAGAGAAAAATCAATAGAAACATAAGTGCACAAAAACAAGGACAAGTCGATTTTTTTCTTCATTTAAAGTTAACTTTAATCATAGACACTCAGTGCTAAAGTGAAATGTTCTGTTCATTAGAATCAACGAACGGAAATTTTTGGTGACTACAGATGCTTATATTCATACGTCATCTTTAGCAATTAAATACTTAGTTACGAAAACAAACAACGTTGATAAACACAACAGAAAGAGAATACTCGCGAAACTTTAATTTTCTTTTTTAAGCGAATCAGTACGTATAAGATTGTTATTATTGTGTTCATAAAAAATCGAATATAAATAAATCCGATTATAAATTTAAACATCGTCATTGACTTCTATTAATACTTCATCGGATTATGATTAATTCGACTTTTTCTAACCCATCGGGATACTGGCTGATTAGATGTTGTTGTTGGATTTTGTTGATGTGTTAAAAAGCATCTGTCTAAGCCAGATTTTTCATATACATATTGAAATCCATATTTAATTATACGCTTCATTTCGGCACGAAATACTCCACTAAATAATGTATAAATATAAAATCCAATCATTGGATTCAAATATAATAATAATCGACATATATTGTCAAAAAATAGTTTAATTTTCGGATTATATACTATTTTGTCCATATATGTGACTATCATATCGAAAATATTAACAGTTGCAAATGGAGCTGTGCAACAAATCATAGTAATAACTTGTACTAATAGCATTGTAACCAATTGACGATCTTTTGAACGTGAACGATCACTTCTTACACCATTATTTTGTGCTGCTATTTGAATATGAAGTTTTCGAACATTTGCAATCATTAATGTACCAAAAATAATCATAAGAATAATTGGTAACATACAAGAAAAACTGAGAAAAAATATTTGAAAAGCTAATTCATATTCACTTATAAAAATATTGCAATAAAGATCACTTCCAATATAATCAACTGTCCACCAAATCAATGTATGAAAATGTGCTAAAGCAATAATTAAAATGACTAATCCAACTGCTTTTCGAGCTATTTTTAAACTACTCAATTGCCGATATTGAATTGTATGACAAGTTGAAAAAAACCGATCAATACTTGCAAGTACGACAAACCATTGTATAAGACATAGAGATGAATAAACAAAAAAAATTCTTAATTTACAAAGTACAATATTAGAATTTGATGGATCAATTTTCCAACCACTTGAAAGAAGACGTGTAAGTAAAGCGACATAAAGAACAAACAAATTATTGATTGATGAAGCCAAAAAGTAATGTGAGCATGGATTAGTACGAAGCGAACGACGAGTAAATATTAAAATATTCATAATATTACCAAATGTGCCCAGTATAAGTTGAAGTATAGGAACACTACGATTAAGTTGAAGTGAAATATTGACCAAACGTTGAGGAACATCATCAGTTGATGCTGACATCGTTTTAAATGAAGAAAAAAAATTGTTTTTCTATGATCAAATTAATCTTATTGTTAACACTTGGCTGAATATCGAATAATATTTCTGAAGAAAAAAAAAAAGATTTTACTTTATAGAAAAAAAATTGAATAACATCGCGTTACATTGAATAACATTTTTTTCTAGCATCATGATAATCTTTTGGATAACAATAATGAGAAACTCTTAGAAAACCCTGGAGATAATGTTACTAACGAAATTTTTTTCTTTGCTTTAATTGAAAAAGAAGTTTCTCTAAAAGACGTGTTAGACAAAAACGTTCCGATTACTAAATGAATGAATAAATAATAATTGATGAATAGAATTCTATTTTTTATAATTAATACGTAGAAAATTGAAAAACATAATGTTAGACATAGCTCAGTATTCAATATATATAAACTTTAAGGTATCAATTAAATTTTATCAAATTTTATATATTAATATATGTAATATGTGTAGTCTGTTATTAGACACAATGCTGAAATTCGCTCTTTATAATAAGATAAAAGAAGTCGTGTGAAATAAATCTACCTGTATGATAATAGATGTTCTTTTATAAGATTATTACAGAGTCAGGTATTCTTAATTGTACCGGTAAAGATGGCCTTGTTAGCGTTTTATTCACAATTCAAATTACGTATATCGTAGAGAAATCGTTTTTACTTTTCAGAAAAAGGAAAACATTTATAAGTCGTGTGATATAAAATTCATTATAAGAAAAATTAATTAACTAGTTAGAAGATTTGTGAAGATAGAAAGAGAAATCAAGTTTGATTTAGTTTTCCTGTGCTCCGAGCTCTATCATTGACATACAACTTTTTTTTCCTTATTAACGGTCTCATTTTCCTATTGCATTCAAGAGAATTTGCAGATGCAAAAACTATTATTCAATTCATTTTGATAAAGTATACTTCTTCATATGTTTTTCAAATAAATTCAAGATGTCATCTTAATTTTATTTCTTGTCAAGAAAAAGTATCGCCCAGAGATGGGCAAGTCAAGTCATATCTGACTTGATTTGACTTGAGCATTATTTTAATAAATCATGCTTTGACTGAAAAACGTCTATGATTTAACTAGACTTGACTTGAAGAGACTTATGACTTGACTGGACTTAGAAATTTTTTATAATAACTAATGACTTGACTTGACTTGTGATCGAAAACCTCTGATTTGCTCGTCTCTAATATCGTCGATTGAATTTTTTCATCGTTCTCATTGTGCGAAAGCCAAATAAAATACATAGAGCTACCAAAGATAAATTTGTCAGTGATACTTCGATAAAAATGGATAACCACTATTCTGATAACATGAGAAACCTCTATTAGGGAGCTTCATGCTAGTTGAAAATAGACACAGATGCAGATTTTCTGAACTTTAATTCAACTATGTTAATTATTTTAGTTTTGTATCTAAGAAAACAGCATACCTAAATATAATTGTATCTCAATGCTTAACAAATGTTATACTGCAGTACTAAAGTCAGTTCAGAGACAGTCGCTAAAAAATTATTTGCAATTAATCTTTTGTTTTCCCAATCAGTCTTTGATGTCCTAATAGATGTTGAAAATTCGCAGCCGGATTTTACTTAGAGAAAACTACAACACGCTATCATGTAACGACTTGACACCATAACACTTTGCGCTTTCTACTCTGTCGACCTCAGTAAAAATAGAAGTATTATTATGCGCCAAAGCTTATTTCTTTTACCGTTGACCTACAACTTTATATTATACAGGGGAAACACAA